TGTAAGGGGGGGGTATAAGGGGGGGGGTCAAAAAGAATGATCAGAAATGAATTCGGCTTTCACCTTTTCCTTAATCGCATCAACCTGGAAAGAAATTCAGAGAGGCAACTTAAGGAGGAAAAAAAAACCCCACAAATAAAAGTCCCACCAAAACAGAAACTGACAGAAGAACAAGAGCGAGCAGAGGATTTTTAACTGAAGAAATAATAACACAACGAATCTCGAGGGAAACTGATGCAGGTTCAAACGCCACTTCTGATACAAATGTGGACTTTAGATTTGGACAAACCACACTTGCACTTTTTTTTTTTCAATTATTATTTTAGATTATTTTAAATTAATCACACTGGCCTGGTGGGTTTTACTCCAAGCTGTGATGAGGATTTTTGTATAATATTTTTCTGCAGTGAGGTCTGTCTTGTTATAAAAACACTGAATTGTGGGCCGTATTTATTCTGCATCGGTGTGAAGTGAATCAAAGCAGCAGCAGCGAGTCTCCTCCAAAGCACATTTGTATAGAAAAGCAGCTTTTACTGATGAATAACCCAGATGAAAATGAAAACATCAATTATGACAAAAACAGAGTTAAAGGAGAGCGAGTCAAAACATGAGTAAAAAGGCAGCGCAGTGTGTGTGTGTGTGTGTAGTACTGTGAGGAAAAACACTGACAACTGCATCTGCAAACATTCTTTTTGCTAAAAAGGTAAAAACCTCTGTTGATACGAGATGGTGAGTAATGTTCAGTGAGAACGAACAGATGCAAATAAATGAGATTAATATAAATATCTTATATATCTATTTTTTTTTATTTGACCCAACTCTATGGGGATCTACATATACTGAGTGTAACATGTCAAATGAAATAATCTGATTATCCATCTTCTACTTTTCAACTTGTCTATTTCACTCACTCGTTTACTGAACCTCCTGCAGACTCACCTTGCTCAGATACTCCCTCATGACCTGGATGAAGTAGGGCATGGAGAAGTCCATGATGTTGTGTCGCCAGGCGGTCTCCAGCACCACGTCAGGCCGCAGCAGGTCGTAGCAGGTGAAGAGGCAGGCGGCGAAGCACTCCTTCTTATCCTCGTTCAGGAACCAGGCCAGGAGCTCCTCTGCCAGCTCCGTGTCTTTGGACTCCGATGCGTACTGCATGGCATCCTGAAGAGAAGGAGAAGCAGTTGTAGATCAGTAACAGCCAGGAGATCCAGACGGCATCCTGAAATCTTCCTTTTTTTCCTTGGTGGTTCTCTGTGCACCTTGTAGAGCTTGTCCTTCTTGCAGAGTTCCACGCTCTGTTTCCAGCGGTTGTTGCCCTTGAACAGATAGGCTGCGATCCTCCTGAACTCTATGAGCTCGTGCTTCTCCAGACCCTGGGCCAGTGAGATGTTGTCAAAGTTGTCGTAGGCGTCGATGGATGTGCGCAGCGCCTGGGTACGAGACGGAGGATTGATGACACGGCTGGAAACAGGACTCAATAAAAACATTAATCCTGCTGGTGACGTTTCAGATAAAGGAGAAAAAAAAACAGAAACTCTATCCCCCCTCTACCCCAGACAGAACCATTCCTTTTCTAAAGATAGATTTTCTATTATGACGCCCCGTGGATGAAACTGTGCCGCCGTACCGCATAGTCTTCCTCGATGATGAAGAGGTTGTTCAGAGCCTCGTTGACAGATTTGTTGTTGTGATTCTGGACGGACCTAAGGTAAGGTTTCACCAGAGGCAACTGTTTCATCTAAAAATCAATAAAGTAAAATAAATATATACATTAGAAATGTAACATATGTTTTTGGAACGTTCTACAGAAATCAACGACGGTCCGGGACCTTGCTGAAGAAGTTGACGGCGCGTGTGTGGTCCAGTCGTGGGGAGAGGACGATCAGCAGGTCGTTAAGTAACAACGGTTTGAACTCCAGGTAAAACTGAACAGCTTTGTAGTACAGCTCCACGTTGGCCACCTGCAGTGAAAAAAAAAATCATGTTCACAGGTTTGTCACAGCTTTAGTTAAGACTCGTTACACAACAACAACAACAAAAAAACAAAAGCTGTGTTTTTTTTTTACCTTGGTGACAATGTCTTTGAACTGGCCCTCCTTCCAGGCGTCGGACGGGTGGTTCATCATGGTGATGATGGCGTTGTCGTACTCCTCGTACTTGTCATAGAGGAACACCAGCTCCGCCCACAGGTGGGCCTGTTCTGCTGCCCTGAGAACCTGAAACACACCCACAGAACTCAGTCAGTAAATAACACACGTGCCGCTAGTCTGACACATCTATAAAAGTCGAGGGTTTGACGCTGCAGCTCTACTTCCTGCTTCATTACCTTTGGAATGTTAACACGAGACCAGAAGAGCTCCAGGTGCTCCCTCATCTTCTGGGGCTTAAACTTGGAGTAGAGGATGGCCAGCTCCGTGAACATGCCCATGTGGGCACGCTCCAGTCCCAGTGCGGCCTCCAGCATCGTGATCAGCTCCTCAAAGTAACCGCGGTCCTGTAGGGAACCACAAATTTATTAAAATCATATTTGACTTTCCACCAAAAAAAAAATCTTTTTTATGAAAAAAATAGGTCATTTTGTTTCCTAACTCATCGTAATTAGGTCATTTTGTTTCCTAACTCATCGTTAATGATACATTTCAGGAGAAGGAAAATTAAATATAGATGGAAAATTAGTTGGATTTTGAGTAAAACCTCTGGAGTGGAAAAGCAACAATTATATATTCATTGAAGGTGGATACGTTTATAATATAAACTACTTGTTTTACCTGGTAGTAGTTGATGAGCTCCTCCAGTTCATCTGCATGGACAACAATGTGGAGTCCACACATCTGGGCGAGACGGAACTCCTTCCCATCGACACAAGCGAAACACACCTGGAAGAGACAAAAAAATAAGTAAATGTATACGTAGAGATCAAAATAGACAAAACCATCACAAACATTTCACCGTTACTATTTTAACTCAGTGTGGAATGACTGTGTTGATCACATCTTCACCTCCTTCCAGATGCGGGTGCTGTTGGCCTTGCGGGCTCCGTCCACAGCGGCCTGGTACTCTCCCAGGTGGACCAGGGTGGAGGCCAAACGGCCAAAGTTAGAGACGTTGTTATAGAGCAGTTTGGCTGCTTCGTACATCTTCTCGTCATAGCAGCGATCGCCCACCTGTAAGACAGGAAAAAAGAAGTTAAGAACATTTATGAGAAATACACGTGTGAGTCTGTTTCTCTGTCCTTCCTGGGACATACCTGCTGAATGTGGGCGTTGTTGGGTCCGTTGATGAACTCTTCAAGCTCGGCGAGGCGGTTGGTCTTAGCCAGGGCAAAGATCAGCTCCGTCTCCACATAAGACTCACGGGCCTTTTTACGAGCCATCTGCAGAAACTTCACCAGGTCCTCCCAGTTCCCTGCACACAGTCGTCGTCCGTTAGACACAAAAAGACAATTTCATGGGAAGGAATGCAACGATTCAAGTCATTTAATGGGAAGGAATGCAACGATTCAAGTCATTCCTCATGGGAAGGAATGCAACTTGAGTCGGTGATTCAAGTCAGATTAACCGGACTTACCGCTCTGGGCCGCTGCTTGTCCCACTTCCATGTAAGCAGAGGGGTCGTCGGCCTTGATGTAGGAGTCGATGGCTTCTTTGACGAGGCCCTTCTGGAGCTGGGCTTTGGCCAACTGACTCCACACTGGCGGCTCGTTGCAGCGTTCTGCAAACTCATAGGCTCTGTCCAGGTTACCGATGTGCTCGATGAGAACCTGGACAGAAACGTACCAGAGGTCGATAAGGCTGCTTCAGGCTCGACAAGGTCAAAGGTCAAAGTTTAAATACAACAGAGGTGGGAATCCGCCGACCTGCACTGCAGAGGTGTTCACATCAAACTTTCTAAAAATAGCAAACGCCTCCTCGAACAGCTCATTACTGATGGCGATGTTTGCGATGTCGGGAGCGTCGTAGTTGTCCAGACGGTTGATGTACTCCATGACACGAGTGCGATCAGCTTTAATGGCCGTCAGGATGAGCAGGTTCTGGAGGTTCCTGAAACAATCAGAACACAACGGTTTGAGACACTTGCTGCTCATTACCACACCGTAACATTTCCCGTTGGTTCTTAGATTCATCGTTTAGTCGATCCTCCCTCACCTGTGCTCGCTGAACACGGAGTTATCCAGCACGATCTTCTCCAGCAGTTCAATGAGCTCGTTGGGAAGATCAGCAGTCATGAAGGCCTTGACCGTGACGGACACTTCCTCTGGATCTTGAGTCTCTGACAATGCTGTTTGAACGACCTGCAGAAGAGAACCGGATCAAACTCTGTGGACAGGACCTCAAGAGTCCAGTCAAACAGAACATCACGAACAAACATCTCACAACCTTCAGGGATTTCTGCTCTGAAAATCACATCCACCAATTGGACATTTCTTCAGTGACTTAGTTAAGAGTGAACCAGTCAAACCTGGTCGATGAGTGGTCTTCTGTAGTTATTGGTCTCCAGCAGCACATTGGCCCACAACTCTGGGTTCTTGCGACGTACAAGGTAGCGGGACAGACTCTTAAACAGAGAGTTCTCGTTGCAGACCTGAAGAATAACAATAACATATAACATTAGAGTCAATTTAAAAGCTCAGGAAAGATGAAAAGAATATTGTTATCGTCGATTACACTGTAACGTCACAGTAATATAACGTGAACTGTTAGTACTGGTACTTACATGAATCAGTGATTTAAAAGCACAGGAAAGATGATCTTATTGTCGATTATACTGTAACGTCACAGTAATATAATGTGAACCGTTAGTACTGGTACTTACATGAATCAGTTCCTGGTCACACTGTCCTCTCTCATAGGCCACACAGGCCAGGTGAGGGTCCCTCTTCTCGCAGTACTTTCCCACCACACGGCTGTCGTAGTAGGGGTTTTCCCTCAGGAATCTCTCGGGGTTGTTATTGCTGTCGATGTAGATCTTTGCCAGGGCATTGTGGGTAGCGGGCTCCTCGCAGCCCTCGTGTATACGCGCCTCCAGCCACGGCAGTAAGAGCTTCAGTCTGGAGACAGACACACAGACACTCAGTCTTTCACAACGACAAGACTCTTCAGACTGGGATTTCAGGTCTGTTGGGTTTCCTTCTCACCGATTTCTTTTCTCCACTTCAGCAACGAGTTCGTCTGTGGAGAACTGTCCCCTCACCACCATGATCAGGTTCTTGATCACATCCTCGGCGCAGTCCACGTCCAGCAGGCCACCAATGACCACCGGCAGGCGGCTCGGGTTCACCTGCAAATCAATGACCTTGAAGTGAGATCAAAGTCCGACAACAACACGCTTCAGTTTCCACTAGAACACGCAGGTGTGAATGTACCTTCTGCACATAGATCTCAATGTATTTCTGGAGGCTGTTACGGTAGAGGTACAGGACCAGGTCGTGGACGAAATCAAAGCGATCGCACACGATAATCAGAGGCAGTTGGTCAGTCAGCTTCGCTTCCTGTGAAACAAAAATTAAACATGTATTTTTTTTAAAATGGCAGCTACTGAACTAGAATTGTTTCCAGTTCTTTAAAAACTGCACTGTTCCACGTCTGACCTTCAGGAAGTTTTTGACGCGTTCAGGGTCGTAGCAGTTGCTCTCTCTGCAGATTCTCTCCACCTCTTTGATCTGGCCAGTCTTGCAGGCGGCCTGGATGTATTTGAAATGGACCTCAGGATCCTGGCTGAAGTTCACGATGGAACCCAGGAAATAAAACAAACCTGCAACAAACACAAACACAAAATAAACAAGAATGCATTTAAAAAAAAAAAATTCAAACTGCTTATTTACTTAAAAAAATCAACAAGAATGCATTTAAAAAAAAAAAATTCAAACTGCTTATTTACCAATTTACCTTCAAAGCTTTTGAACGACTCAAAAAGTTCAGTGAGGGACTGAGTGGAGAGCTGCTCGTGGTACTTGGAGGCCACCTGCACACATATCTGCAGGTTCTGGCGAATGTTTGCAGACAGCATGGCTCTCAGACACTCCAGAGAGTCCTCCACTGAGAGGGAGCCAAAGAAGTTCACCAGCCACTGCAGGGTTTGAGTGAAGACACGGTAGAAGTCACTACACTGTCGTTTTAAACCAAGAGTTTTCAGAACTTCCTCAGCTGTACCTCTGGGCTCAGCAGGAGTGTGTGCAACACCGCACGCTTTATGTCGTACAGGTCAGTATAATGCTCCAGCGCCCTCTGCAGGAGACCGGCCTTCTCGCACAGCTGTGCCACGTGTGGTCGATCGTAGTGGGTAAACATCTGATTTCCAAGGATAGCATCTGCAACCTGTCGTATAAAAACACATCAAAAGACATTTATTGTGGTTTTCAGCCTAGTTTAGACTTTAACGAAACACAGCCTAATAGTTAGTTTCTCCACCTGTGGGGCGTGGACCAGATTCATTTCCAGCAAGCGTGTCTGCAGTGGTCCTTCCATGGGTCTGTTATTCTTCAGGGCATCCAGGAGGAAGGACGTGCACTGCTGGATCAGGTTGTACTCCATGAACACGTCGACGATCTGGAGAAAAAAAAGGGAAGTCATCAAAACTTCAATTTCTTATATGTTGTAATGTCTGTTTTTTGGGTGTAAGAAAATATTGATATATCGTGGTTGTAATGTCTGTGTTTTGGGGTGTAAGAAAATATTGATATATCGTGATATGACGAAATCAATACCCTACAGTACTGTAATCTTTTATTACAAATTCCCAGTCAAATATTCCTGGTGTTGGTTCACTTTCTTTCTTCTCTGGTGATTCCAAATGATGTCAGTTGCTTAAAATAACTAAACATATCACCCACTGTTTATATGATTTATTATTTAAAAGTATATATGACTGTACATTTGCTGGAGTGGATGCAGTAAATTTAATTACACTGAATTGTTTTAGTAAACAACAAAGGTCAATTACCTTCATAAAATCAATTAACTGTTCAGAGATGTTGGTGCTGGGTGATGTTCTGTTTTTCTTTTTTTGGTACCTGTGTGATGTCAGCTAATGGCTCCTCATCCTGAACTAGCATCTGTGAGAACTGAAGTCCTTGCTCCGGACTGATCCGCATCACATTCCTCAGCAGAAAGATCCAGTCTGGAGTGTAGCCGACCTTCAGGGACAGAACAGATTGTAACTCTTCACATGTATCACAACAAACAGACACAACATCTCACATGGAACTGGAATAAAAGTTCACAAACCTTCTTGGCGTAAAGAACAATCTTCTGGAACTGTCCGGTCTCTGCAAAGCACTGAATGACTTTGTTGGGAACATTTGCTCTGAGATACACACTGAGAGCAAGAGTGGGATCCACAGACTTCACCAAGTCCCCGAGCTCCTCAGAGCACTCCAGCTGTGATGACAGACAAAACAAAGTACAACGATGTGACGTTGTCAGGTGAAAAATGTTTGTATTTAAAAAAAAACCAGGGACAGACCTTGTCCTCCTTCAGCCACTTCTCCAGTAGCTGCTTCCGGCCCTGCTGGAGGACTGGCCTGCAGAGCTCCAGAGACTCAAACTTATTGAGCTGGCCTTGATCCAGCAAGATGCCAAAGTACTGGAGCAGAGGAGACGTCTGACCCGGTTGAGCTGGAACACTCTGGAAGCGACGGATGGTGTCTGGGGTACGCAGAATTCCCTGGGAGGAGGATGGATAAACAGGAAAAGTATGTGAGTGAAGGTGAAGACATTTGGTTGAACTATTTTTTTATTATTATGGCCCCAGCTCAGAGTGTGCAGTGACAGTACCTTGGGTGCATTGGCTGCGACCTTGGCAGCCTCTGAGTAGTTTCCTGCTGCGAAGAGAGTGTTGAACTTGCGAGCAAACAGCTCTTCAGCTCCGGCAAGGTTATTACGGACGGCCATGCGGAGGGCTAGGTCTGGGTTCTGAAGCACGTTAGTGATGTACGGAATGATGTTCTCCTCCTCCACGCACACTGACAACACCTGAGAGGAAACATGGATTTTTTTGTGTAAAACTATACACACTGAAAAATTAGAGAGAGATGAGACACTGGAGTCAAATATGGATTTATAAATATAGAAATCCTAAAATCCTAAAATACACTAAAGGATGACTATGTTTTCGTGTGCACATTAGCATTACGTGTGTACTGGTGTGTGTGTGTGTGAGTTTGTGACACTGATCTCTATGTGCCAGAGCATGTGTACTGGTGTGTGTGTGTGACACTGATCTCTATGTGCCAGAGCTGCAGGTGTGACCTAAGGGCAATAACAGGATTAGACAGAGTAGAACTGCATTGTCCAAGATTAGGCGTCCTGCTGTAAGTATCACATGACGTCCCCGTGTAGATGCTGCTGCAGCTTCAAACTTTCACACATTTCTCCAAGTCAAGGTCACGACGACAGCAGCCAAACGTTACCTGTCCTTTCCTGTTGACCCCAATGATACCAGCGGTGGGCTCGTGTGGGGCGGTGACAAAAATGGTCTCTCCGCTGATCCTGTTCATGTAGATGCAGGTTCCAGTTTCCAGGTCGTACAGGTGAATGTAGCCGTATTTGGTGATGAGAAAGACGACGTCCTGCTTTGAGCTGATCTGGATGGAACAACAGAGAAAGAAAGACAATTTTTTGAACAATCAAACCGACAAAATATTTGTGAACTGGTGAGCTGAACGTCTTGCCGTTTCATCAAAGCAACGACGGAAAACAATTACTCGCTTGACTGGCTTCTGGTAAATATTTAATTGTACCTGCATGGCGACAGGAAAGTCATTCTGAGCTTCTGGAGGGAAGAAAACATCAACAGCTTTCTTTGGAAACGGCTGATTCCCAGTGGGTGGAGTTCCCACTTCAATGATATGCAGCTGGGAGCAAAAAAGAGAGAGAGACACAGATGACGTCAGATAACACTGTTCCATCAGGACTGACCGACGCAGTGATCTGGATAAGAATGTTGTATATCGTACTTTTCCTCCCGCCTGTCCTCGCACAGCAAAGCAGAACAGGGTGGACTCCTCGGTGTTGCCCTCCATCTTGAACTGAGCAAAGCCGGCGGCATGACCCTCGATGGGCTGAGAAACCTTTCTGTCCACTGAGTACAGCTGCATGGCTCCGACCACACGGTTTTGCTGTAGGAAAGATAACGACTCTTCTTAATTCAAAGATCGTAGACACGATGTACGACAGTATGAATGAATGAATGAATGTAGATCAAGTCAAAGTTCATGATCATTTAAAAGTGAACTTTGGTAGCCTTTTACTAAGACACAGACATTAACCTGTGCTGAGATGCCAATGAGCAGCAGCCACTTCTGTTTGGCGTCAGTGCGGTAGTTGATGATCTGGCAGCCTGCCAGGCTGGAGTGTCGGTCAAAAACTTTGATTGGCTGAGAGTCTCCCTCCATGCTCCAGTGATACACGGCGTTGTCAGTGACCAGCGCCACGGTGTTGAGGGAGATCCACTTCCAGAAGGTCACGTCGTCTGTCATGGTGTGAGCCTTCATCTTGCTCTTCATCTCAATGTTGAAGATCTGCAGGGTCTTTGCAGCTGAAAACATTTGAAAGTTTCATTTAATTAATGCCCTTGTTTTAATTGAACAGCCTAAAAACCACTTAAGTTACAGTAAAGCAAACACAAACACAATTAACTCAAACCAACCATGTGACTAAAGCTACTACAAACAACCCACAGCAGACTCCGGGAGGAAACACAAAGAGTTTTGCACAACAGAAAAAAAAAACACAGGGGGAAATCAGTTAAGATCTACATCTGCATTCAGTCAGGTCTGACATACATTAGTCAATTAACGATACACAATCGTTTTTAACCTACAAAAACTAAATTGCAGCATTAAAAACACAGCATCAAAAACGCATTGACATAAATATAGATCTGTGCCAAGCTGCTGAAATCAGGTAAAATATTTAAATTGTAAAGAGTCATAAAATTTATTATGTCAATTCTGTTCTCCAGATATCAAATACTTTCTTTATTTTACTGTTTTGATCTCATCTGTAAAGTCACTGTTTTGCATCAATACTGATGATGTTACTTTCTTCTCCACATATTCTGTGGATCAAGACAAGATCATTCTAATGTTGCACAACAGCTTCATTCTTGATGAATACTTAAAAAAAACACTAGGAACTATTGTGAACCATTCCCACCATCAGTGATTATATTTTGTTTCTCTGGGACAAAAGACGCCAATCACCAGCCAGAAAAAAAAAATGTTGTTGAGAGAAAACAATTATTGATGGAGATTTAATCGACAGCTTTGGACCAGTGTCACCTATGAATCCTTTACTTTATGACGGTAAAACTACTGACCTGGAAAATCACAGTTACTTAGAAGAATCTTTGGATGTGGGTTGGACCACACGGTGTGATCTCAGCTCTACATCCGTATAATTTTGGAGAACACTGTCAGACCAGTCATCTAAGTATAACCTCGACACCACTGAAACACAGGCCGACCATATTTAGACCTGTTCCTACCTGGTTTCATTTCACCCTCACCTCTAATACAACGAGACGTAGCTGGATAAAAACAACACTGTTCAACAATGGGACTCTACGAACCATGTGAATGTGAGGAGTCACATTACCATATACAGTATACACTGCTGTCATACAACGTAGTTGTAGATATGAACTCTTCGTTGGCCGTTTACGAGGGTTTGTTCAGGACAAACATGCAACACTGCCAATATTTCATTTTAGGTTGAAAGTTTTGCGATAAAAACTTTTGCACGGAGTCGGAAAAAGCCTTTGTTTGTGACAAAGACGATGACGAAGAGAAGATAAATGAAAGTAAGTCACGGCCTGTGTTCACACCAACACCAACATCAGGCCTGAGAAACCTCTGTGCGACAGTAATGTGATCCGGTCATGAAGGTCAAGTCAATACAATCCACATTTAAATGGTCACTGATTTTGACCGGCGGCTACGAGGCCGATTGGAAACTCTACGGCTTGTTCTCTTAACACTCTACACATGCGGCAAAAGCTCAGGGGACTGGGATTATACTGTGTTTCTATGTCAAAGTTTGTGGGAAGGAAGCAGGGTCTGAATGCAGATTAGCAAAAGAAGACCACAAAGCACACAAACAGATGTGATGAAGGACAAATCAAACGACGTGTTTCTAACTGAAAATTATCAGAATACAATACTGGGTTATTGGCGTTTAAATTTATGTGGACGGGTTTTTCCACAAGGATCAAACATGAGATTTCAAAAAAAAAGAAAATAAGAACAAGAATTTTTCATTATATTCACGGCTGCATGAATCAGATTAGGGTTTACAGTAGAATTTGTCACTGTTAATAACAGGTGTTGACAAACACTTTGTTCCTCTAGTGCAGGTGCGGCCAAACTTTCTGGCCGTGGGCCACGACTTGATAAAAAATTTAACCAACGCCCCGATCGCCACTTCTTCACGATTCCCTTCAATGCAGTGTTTGTGAGTTGTTGTCGCTTTGCTACTACTGGGTAGGAACCAGTGGTTCTAAACAAACAATAGGGTCTACATTCATGAAAATTCAAAAATATAATCAAGGCAGTAAAGAAAAACAAACTGTTTAACTGTCAGGTAAATATCAGTTTGTAACGAACATCTGCTGATTAACAAGTACTTACTGTAGAGAGATAAAACCAAAGTATTTGTAGAATATGAAACAGTTTTTTTACGCAGGTAAATGTCCAGAATACCGGAGTATAAATATAACACTTTTGAAGTCTTAGCTTTTATAAATTGTTTGAGTTATATTGGATTATAGTTCACTCTTTATCCAAGAGGTTTATGGGGAAAAAAAACAATAAACCCTTCTACAGATAAGACTACAGGACGTAGAATTGCTCTTCGTTTAATTATTCGTATAATTTTCTCTGATTCCGCATTTTTGCTGCATACATACTGCACATTACTACCAACCATTTTCCAAAGTTAAGTATTTGCTGCAGTGACCAGTTGGGGAGAATTACCACAAAGACTTAAATTATACAAACGTTTTTGAATGAAGCATTCAAATTAAATCACTTTGCGAATTAAAACTGACACGTGAACTGTGTTAATTAATTTTATAATAATAAATATTAATGGTTTTGCAGCTGCCACGTATGTCTGTTTTACAGTGTCTGATTAGAGCTTTGGAGTTTCACCTCAGTATTCAGAAGATAATTATTCCTTTCGGTCATTTCAGTGGGCTACAGGTTGTGCATTTTATTGCGTTTATATACATGGATTTTGCTCCACGTTAATAGAAGATGTGACTTTTTTTATTACATCTTTTTAACAATATTTTTTGTTTTAGAAAATGGTTAGATGTAATTTAATGTATGCCCTGTGTAACAGATGGATAGACACCCACACACAAAATAAAAAAAAATAAAAAAAGATACAGCCTACTGAACTGCCCTCTTATTTTAAAGCAATGCACTGCTCACGTTATGGAGGTAAATGCAGGCATTCACTTAAAAGTACTACCAGTACTGTGCAAACAATTCAAGGCTGTGCAAACAAAGGTTACACTTTGACAATTCATGATATGTAAAGTTCAACTCACCGTCTGCAAACATAAGAAAGCAGTAAGAAACGAAAAAAGAGCAAAAAACAAGCAAAATAGACAAAGCATTCGTGACAGCATGACATCGTTCTCATACCAAGGCTACTTCTCTCTGGGTGTTACATTATGTTATTGTCAATTACAGTGCAACTCCTTTTAACCATTAATCTTTGACAAACAAATGAGGTGATTTACATTTAACATCAAAATGAAAGAAGATTTCGTGAAACTCTACATAGCAAAACAAATATTAACACAAACTGTACAGGAAGACATGTGGAAAAAAACCAACTCTAATTTAAACAATTACTTTGTTCTTTAGGGAAAAAACCAAACCCTGCAGTCTCCTCTTTGTCTATGACAGAATGTATGGTGTTAGGAGAAACTAGTGCTTACCTTTGAGGGCAATCACTTTGCTGGCAGGGTTCATGATGGCGCTGTCTGCAGATATGGGCCGGCGGATGGGATTGTTAGGATCTGCCATATCTATTATGACGACCTGGGCCTGCTCTCCAACTTTTTCCCTCACGCAGATGAACTTGTCTGACTCCATTGTCAGCGTGCTGAAACCAATGTTGGCTGGGTTTATGCCCAGGTTCTGGAGCTGAGAGATATGGAAAAAGAAAAGCACGTTAGAAGAATTGTATTTTTTATTGTAGAGAGATTTTTTTTTTTTTAGGACAGTCTCTGTTGGGAGCACAGTGCACAGGAGGCAAACGGATTAACTGTCCTATTTTTCAACAAAGGGTATTATGGCAAAATTATCAGTGCAGTCTTTAGTCTTTAGTAATTAACAAACTACTCCTGTTAAAAAGCATTTCTAAATTATCTTTATTTCCCCCATTTAACATTTGTCATAGTTAAGATAAAAAATGCATTTTCTTTAATATTAGTCAATGAATGATGCTCGAGACATTTCACAGCACAAGATGTTTGGTTGTTAAGTAATAACTGTAATTACTTTTCTGGACTGGCAATAATTACACAGCAACCACTGCATCGATTAACTGTCCTCGGTGGAGACTCGTCCTCAGAACACCACATTTTAGCCACAATTGTCTGACCTTAATTTAAAATAAAATTGGTAGACGGCTGCCTTTGCTCATCCAAGCATCTTGTTGAGTGACAAATCAAAATGTGTCAAAAAGATGTGCTTTATGCTGATGTTCTTTTTTTTTTGGGATTAAATCCCTCAGTTTTTCTCTACAGTGATTTTAGGATTAACAAAAACCCCACTTTGGTGTCTTTTTTTATTTTTTTTGGAAACGCATATTGATTTAAATAAAATTCTAAATAGCATGTAAATAAATATTCAAACAATTTATTTTAGAAATGCTGTCGACATGTATCAAAAAAAAAAAAAAAAAAAACGTCTTCACTACTAATTTGATTTGTGGAAAATTCGTGCTATCGACACCAAATCCTGTTCATGTGGTTTAAAGTAAATAAGTCAGAGGGTGGGGATATCTAACATAGTCCGGAGGCTAAGATGGAGCAGCTCGAATGACTTGACTGTAATCTGGTCCCATGTGTTTATTAATGCATGTGGTATTCGTGTTATGATTGGTAAAAGGGGGGAAAAAAACATGTCTTTGACAGGATGGGTGAACCGCATGTTTGTCCTTATTCAGTCTAAGGAGACAATCACTCATTCACTTCACTGATAGCAAACTAAACAGAACATAATCAGCTGTTTTAAAAAAAAAGGGCCAGTCGTGACACCACCTCTTGTATAATGTAAAATGGCACAGGGTCCATTCAAACTGCAGATTCTCGCTTTACACCCCGTCACCTCTAACATCATCACCGACACTGATCTGGCAGAGGGTGGTTTGCCTGACAACCACAACCTAATCTAAGGAAGCTACGATTAGCCGATATTTTCCCTTCCCATCGCACTTTATGGTAAAATTAGCTTATGTAGTTGCTATAAGCTAGCACTGGCAGTGACTATACGCGCGTTAATGTCGACAAAAACTGTCAACCAATGCTCGGCAAACGAGTTACAACGTGAACCACTTTTTTTCCCCTTTTCCTCCCGATGCTCAGTGACAGTTTCGGCCGAAGATAAGCATCGCTCAAATGAATGAGACCCGCTCGGCTGAAAGCTAACCGCTAGGTAAACGGGGGAGGGGAGGTCATTCATTTTTACTGCGGCTACGGACGTTTAGCATCGCTAACATACCGTCAAAATGACGGCTTAGCCGATAAATTAAAAAAAAAACTACATCTAAATAACGAAGTGAGTGTAGTGCGTGTTGTCGGGGTGTTTTTGCCTACACACCTGCAGGTGCTCCTGGAAGCGGATGGGCAGGATTTGAGCCATGGCGGTTTCCTACGGAGCTTCTCCGGAGTCCTGATGAAACGTAGCCGTGCAGCTCGATAGCTAGCAGGGCAGTAGCACCGCGCTAGCTACGACCTCCGCACTGTTCGTGTAGGTCGGAGCCAAGCAGAAAAATAAAACACGGCCAAAATGTAAGTCAGCAGTGACGTTAAGAGCTTTAACTCCGAAAACTGGAGTCAGCTATGATGTAAGTCGTCTCCGCCCTTCTGTTCGCGCTTTCAGCACCGCATAGATGGATAGCAGCGGCTACCGCTGATCTTCTGAGCAAAATCCGCAATGGCGGCGGAAACGGCTCAGCGGCTTCACAGCCCCGGAAACATCCAGCAGCTCTGGAACAAGGACACTCACACCGTACAACAAGAACCCTCAGGAAATTTAAAAAATATATATATTTCCCCAAGTTTCACTTTAAATAAAACGCTACCCTTCATATTAACATGAAGTAAATTCATTACATTCAGCCACAGCAGTTCTGTAAAAAAAAAAAGAAAAAAAGCTCATTTTAGAAGTTTCTCTAATTTTACAAATATTTTTTGCCCCACTACTATTTTATTAGATTTATCTTTTAAATTGAAATAATGCCTTAAATTATTCAAATGTATTAAATAAAAAAATCCATTTGTTGTTAAAGTCGTAACTTAATGCATTCACGAAAAGACTAACGTGATAAAATTCCAAGTCTAATTGTATACATCATTTTTGCCGTCGTAATTTTAATGTCAAATAGCTTTATACGTAAACTATCACCTTTTCCATAAATTTCGATTTCTTTGTTTACACCAAGGGAGTGTTTTTTTTCGTTTGTTTTTTTGAGGCAGCCATGTTGGATTATCATGCGTTTTTGTTTTTTTTCTTCTAACAATTTTCACTAAGAAACCTACAAACCCTTTTGTAATAAGGAATAATCTAAAACTTAAAAAACAGCTTTCTAAAGCGAAATAATTTGATTTTCTTTTATCTGTGTTTACAAATATAACAAAAGTCCTGAATTTTCTGCACACTTGTAAACACAGAAGTATAAGTTATATATGGTCCAATATTAACCAAATACGTATATGATTATACTATATATGGTCCAGTATTAACCAAATACGTATATGATTATACGATTGTTTTTTGAAACAACAGAATAAAAAAGACGACTCAAGATTACAAAAATGATGCATTTTCCAGAAGCAGCTGTAATTGACTATAAAGGCATTCCTAATCCAGTGTCTCTAAGCTGTTTTCTTTATATTTCAGTGTAAAAAGCCTAATCTCTATTTGAAAAAAAAGAAACAGTAAACCCAAAATAACATTTCATAAGAAAACAATAATTGAAAAAGGAACAAAAACCCCATTCACCAGTCACTTCAATTAAAATAGAAACACCATCTCATTGTTGCTAACATTATCCCTCAAAACAAATATATCATTTTCCTTATATATATATATTTCAATCTATATATATTTATTTTCAAGGCAGTTGGTCAATGGCCAGTTTATTTGACCTCATCATGGCCATTTCTTCTAGTTCAACGTTAGAAATAGCTAGAATGGAAGTAAATGATGAGTGAAAGCACAGTGCAGCGACACCACACTGACCAGCAAATAACGTCTCATTTTAAGTTAGAGGGAGTCGTCTGTCGAAGGAGTGTGGCAAAACAGACAACTTCCTCTGGAACAAGTGCAATGCAAACAGAATACATTTCTCACACATCATCATTTAAGTACACGCAGCACGTTCACAGCACTCCAGGTTGTCCGTGGTATTTCCCCCGTGAGTCTCATCTTCCTTTAGATTTACCGGTCATACAGCAGTGAAGACTCGCGTTGTGCTGATTCGTTTAGTTCTGAGTCAGCGCTGGATCTTTTGGAGTCCACTCAATGGAGAGAGTCACAGTACGAGTCAGAGAGGTGGTGCCTCTGATCCATCCTCCATCGCTTGTGTTCTACTACAAAATCTTAACTGTGATTACAGGCAATGTAGTGCTTGTTCGCGAACATCTGAGCTACGATTCTGAGCTAGGAACATTATTTGGTCATCTTGCCATTACAGTAAAAAAAAAATGTGATAATGAGTTTTCCCTGAATACTGACGACTATTCTACCAGTAAATGGTAAGTCTGATAGCAAAGGGGGAAAAGATAAGGGTGGGGGGGGCAGATGCAGCATTCTGCAGAAACGAGGGCTATGCTTAGTGTGGATGGCAACCTGAACATAAACTTGGCCGTAGCGCTGTGCTCTGGATAATTGCATTGAGTAGAGCACACGAAGAGGAAACGAAAGGGAACGGGAACTGAAGGAGGACAGAGCCATGAGATGGATGGATGGGGTCACTGCTGCAAATATGTGAGTGATCATCAAAAGTGCTGCATGGTGATGTGAAGAAGTTCCCTGGATTAATGTTTACATGTAGTGAATATGCATGTTGTACACATCAGCAAGTCTGCTCACATGAGAGAGAGAGAGAGAGAGAGAGAGAGAGAGAGAGAAGAAAGTGAGATAGTGGGAAATAAGGAATCCCTGGGCTGCGTGGGGGGGATGAAGGGGGCGGGGGTGCAGTGGAGTAGACGGCCCCAACAGCCCTCCATGATTCTTAACATCCAGCAGGACTATGTGCCTCTCTTTTGTAGCTCCTGAATAAAGGCTGAAAAAAGAGGGACAGGATACATTTAGTCACTGAGGTTCTTATTCAGAAGTAAAATATAGTTCTTAAAAACGAGTAAAACTTGCCTCCAATAATCTCTTCTTTCACTTTCTGAAGTTCTTTTCGCACCTCCTCGAGGATCTCCTGCAGAAAAGGAGGGATTCAAAACAAGTATGAATATTTTTTATCTTGAACCAGGTCAGTCAAATGCCAGGATTTTATAATCCACAGGAAATGTCATCATCATCTCACGTAGCAGCTTCCATCTGGTCTCTCTGACCAAGAGTTTTCTTTTTCATCAAATAAGGCACACAGTTCTGTCACAAACTTGTTAGTTATTCTTCAAAAATGTACCTGTTTCATTTTCTCTAAATCAGAGTCGTCCGATCCACCTGCATCGTTACTGTTGTTCGCAGCTTTCGATCTGAGTAGACAGTGAGAAAAAAATGTTTTTTTTAAACATTAAAACAGTATTTCTAGTTTGATGGTTGTACAAAAAAAAAGAATCAAGTTTGATGGTTGTACAAAAAAAAAGAAAGGTCCATGACACAGCAGGGCAACCGTGGGTCAAGCTCGTCACCATAACGCCACAGGGTTGTAGAAGATGAGGACAAAGATGGAGGATTAACACCACACACACACACAGAGATTCAAAAATTTACAATCATCTTTTCTTTCATTTTTTCACGTCTCAACTTCAAAACGAATACATATCACACCAGACAGGCTTAGTCAGAGAAAAAACCCCAGAGCACTAAAGAAGAGAAACACTCTGCACCATGAACAGCTACAGGACCTTTGGGTGTATGACACTCCGTTATCCATTAGGTGGTGCTATTGACTTTGAGGGGGAAAAAAAGGCTATTACAACCTGATCTTTGCAGCACTGACCCTTGAAAAAGAGAGAAAAGACAAAGGGAGCAAAAAGAGGTGGAGGTGGTGATAGTGTGGGGGTCCCGGGGGGAGGGTTGAGG